GGTTTCTCTTTCTTAAAAGAGGATTTCATACTATCCTGGATCAAGGTGTGTATTCACTTATTTTGTATAATAGAAATTCATATAGTTTTCATTTATAGAATTGAATCCTTAATGTTTTTTAGTTTACATTTCGCAAAGTTTTCTATCAGATTGTATTTAGGCCTCGTTTAGAATGTTAGAAAAAATTTAAAAAGTTACAAATTTTTTTTTTTTTAAAATCATCACTATTCACAAATTTAAAATAAAAAAAATTAATATACATAATATTTTAATACAAATCAACTTTACACTATAAAAGGTACTGAATTGATGGGAAAGTACCGTGAAAGGAACCAAAAAAAAATTACATATATATATTCACTAAATTGGACGGTAATGCCGGGCCTGTGGGGACCCACCACGGATCCCATTTTGATAATTCGAACCGTTCAATGTGTAGAACTCATCCAGTATTATATGCTTCTAAAAAATCACGTTGATCGGATATCGCTAACTACATGATCAAATCAGTTTTGTATAAAAAAATGGATGGTGTTATAGTTGACGGTTGACAAAAAAAACTAATCCGATCAGATAACTATAGATATCCGATCAACATGATTTTTTAAAAATATATAATAATCGACAAGTTGTACACATTGAACGGTTCCGATTAGCAAAACGGGACCCGTGATGGGCTCCCACTGTCCAAAAAGCACCTTCCAAATGGTTGCCCAAAAAGGAGACAACCATTTCCTATTACACTACTCTGCAAACCTTACTGCCACCGTACAGCCTACATTGTCAAAATTTTTCTTACATACTAATTTATACAATTTTTTAATACATATTTTTTTATAAAAAGTCAAAAAGTTAACCCAAACATCCATCTTTTTTTCTTCAACTTTTTAGTCTAAAAAGACAAAAAGTATACTTATTTAGGACATTCCAAACAACCCCTTAATTTATCAAAAATATAAAATAAAATAAAATAAAATTGCTCACTCTAATTTTATGGGTTTACCATAAATTCATTTTAATGATGGATCCATTTATATTTTGGACCTTCATGTATAAATCAATTTTAAAAAATCATATTAATTTGGTATTTACATGATTTTATCACATTTAGTTTCAAATAAAATAGACAATATATTTTTAAAATCATACCTAACATATATATATATTTGAAATTAAATGTAATAAAATCATATATTTATAATTATTAAATCAATTGGATCACTTTTGATCACCATAACATGTACACGAGAATCTAAAAGATGAAAACAAATTATGTAATAAGCCCAATGGACTCGACCCTTCCAGTCCAAATGCAAATTTGAGAGAATTCAATTTCTTGAAAATATATATTTTTCAAAGTATCATAAAAAAAAACCTTCCACTTTGTATAAAATTTTCAAATGATCAAGACAAATCTTGCAAATGCTAAATTGTTCAAAAATCATATCCTAAGTTGAAAAAAAAAAAAAAAAAACCATTATTCTAATTTAGGCTATCATACAATAAGAGCTGTTAAATAAATTCGTCAAATTTCTCTTCACACCTATATACATCATAACGTATAAAATTCATAATACATACAAAAAATGTTGAATATATTTAGAAGCTCTCATATACAATATGAGACAGACATTTTATTAAATAAATCTTGTCGTTGGATCTTGTTATAAAACAATTTCAACCATTGGAATTATTTGTGTCTCTTACACATTTTTAAATGATGAGTAAATTTTTTATATATAATTTATTTTATTTTCATTTTTTCCAATAAAAAGGATCCGACAGGGTGTGGGTTTTTCAATTGAAAAAAAAAAAAGTGTAAATAAATAAACAAATATTTGATTAATAAGATCTACCCAGATTGCTAGGTTGGGCTTGTGATAGGCCCATCCAACTCAAACCTCGGCGGTGTTTGGAACTTGATTTTGGAAATTTTTTTTTTGTTTTTTTCACTACAAAATCAAAATAAAAATAAATAAATAAATTCAAACAAAATATCACATCAAACTCCATAATCATTTTACTTTTTCTCTTACAAATATCACATCCAATCACAAAAAAAATCTAACTATCTTCCCAAACATAAAAAAAAATTCTTCAATAATATCTTACAACTAAAAAAACTACAAAAAAATCTACTTCCCAAACACCCACTAATTCACTGAATTTGGGTTTCACCCAAAAAATTGAGGATAGGCTGATATGGGCCCATGTGCTTCTATTGGTTCATAGAGTTTTGTGCTTATAAGTGATATACAATTTATGCAAATAATAGGGTAAGTTTGTTTAGAATGAAAATGGTGAAAAGTGAGAGCAATGCATTTTTTTTTTCTTTTTTTCTTTTTTTGAGTTTATTTAGTATGAAAGTGGTAAAAGTGAGAAGAAAATTAATTTTTTAGGTAAATTATAAATACATCATTTGAGATTTGTTTAAAATACAATTTATCCCTATATAGTTTTGAAAATTACGTCATGCCCCTTGAAATTTCTAATTTCATAACAAATTATCCATTTTGTCAAATTTCTCTTCACACCTATATACATCATAACGTATAAAATTCATAATACATACAAAAAATGTTGAATATATTTAGAAGCTCTCATATACAATATGAGACAGACATTTTATTAAATAAATCTTATCGTTGGATCTTGTTATAAAACAATTTCAACCATTGGAATTATTTGTGTCTCTTACACATTTTTAAATGATGAGTAAATTTTTTATATATAATTTATTTTATTTTCATTTTTTCCAATAAAAAGGATCCGACAGGGTGTGGGTTTTTCAATTGAAAAAAAAAAGTGTAAATAAATAAATAAATATTTGATTAATAAGATCTACCCAGATTGCTAGGTTGGGCTTGTGATAGGCCCATCCAACTCAAACCTCGGTGGTGTTTGGGAACTTGATTTTGGGATTTTTTTTTGTTTTTTTCACTACAAAATCAAAATAAATAAATAAATAAATTCAAACAAAATATCACATCAAACTTCATAATCATTTTACGTTTTCTCTCACAAACATCACATCCAATCACAAAAAAAACCCAACTATCTTCCCAAACATAAAAAAAAAATTCTTCAATAATATCCTACAACTAAAAAAACTTACAAAAAAAATCTACTTCCCAAACACCCACTAATTCAGTGAATTTGGGTTTCACCCAAAACATTGAGGATAGGCTGATATGGGCCCATGTGCTTCTATTGGTTCATAGAGTTTTGTGCTTATAAGTGATATACAATTTATGCAAATAATAGGGTAAGTTTGTTTAGAATGAAAATGGTGAAAAGTGAGAGCAATGCATTTTTTTTTTCTTTTTTTGAGTTTATTTAGTATGAAAGTGGTAAAAGTGAGAAGAAAATTAATTTTTTAGGTAAATTATAAATACATCATTTGAGATTTGTTTAAAATACAATTTATCCCTATATAGTTTTGAAAATTACATTATGCCCCTTGAAATTTCTAATTTCATAACAAATTATCCATTTTGTAATAAATTATCAAGTCAATTAAGAGTTTTTAATAATGTCAAATATATATTTTAAATAATAATTTAGGTAATTTTATTATTATATAGAAGAGCAGTTATGAATTTTACTTTTCAGTTAATTCTGTTAAATAAAAAATTCAAACAAGGGGGTATTTGTAATTTTTCAAACCGCAATAGACAATTCATATTTTAAACAAATCTCAGGAAATGTATTTTTAATTTATTCTAATTTTTTTATATAATTCATAATAGCATAGTAATTATGTTTCTAATTGTTTTGCAAAAAATATATAGAAAAATACAAGATAGTTTAATTTTTTTCAATATAAATGTAGTTAATTAGAATTCTTATTTTCTGTCTTTTTACTTGAATTTTTTTATCATAATTAAATTCATATAAGAAAATATATTTTTCTTTTTCTTTTCTTTTCTGCCACTTCACTTTCTACTATTTTCAATTTTCACTATTTATTTCTTTTTAATCAAACACACTTTATCATTATATGTTTAGATTATGAATTCAAGTATAAGTTTAAAAAGAAAAAATAAAGAAAAAATTTAAAATCCAGCATTCTTGAAATTATATTATTGAAAAAGCTAATTAGGCTATTGGCATAATTCTTCATAATTGATTAATTTCTTATGGACTTGGGATAATTTCTCAAATTTCATAGTGTATTCATTTAGCTAGTTTCTTAAGTTTGTGTATAAATCATAAATTTGGATAATAATTTAGAAGAAAAAAAAAATGAATAAAATATATTAACATTTTACCTCTTGAAATTTGGTATAACATTTGGCTTCCTTAACTTTCATGATATTGGTTCTAATTTGTTTCTTTCTTTTTGTTAAAATTAAAATTTAATAAATATACAAAGAGTAAGATCAGTAAATAACATGATTCAAACTACAAATCCCCTATTAAGGCCAAGTTTAGGAAGACTAAATACGGTCAAGTTTGGCATTTTTTTAAAAATTTAAAAAGTTAAAAAGTCACTATTTTATTTAGGTTACATCATCTTATTTAAGTCACATCACCTCTCTATCACATCATTTCAAATCCAACCCATACCCAACTCCTATTTCATAAAAATTCAAAAAGTGCACTTATTTAAGACACCCCAAACAACCCCTAAGTGTACTTTTTGACTTTTTTTTGTATTATGTGTAGAAAAAGTAGAGAGGAGATGTTGATTGATGTGACCTAAATAAGTGCACTTTTTTAGGTTAGCCAAACTTGGCCTAAGTTACAATAATTTTTAAATAACCATTTTGTCATTAATTATTTTTTAAAATTTAATTAAATTAATTTGACACAAATTTTCAGGGAATTGAATTGACAGAAATCTCATTGGAATGGAAAATAACAGAGAACAAAGAAGCTGAAAATTTCAAAAACAGTAGGGGATAGAACTGTAATTTCAGCTGCAAAAATCCTAGATTGAAAGGAATATCCATATTCCTCTTGGTACTGAGGAAGTAAAGAAAGCAAGAAAAACAGAACAAGAACAGAACCAAACCCCCCATAGCTTTGCACTCGCAAACCCTCCAAACACTGCCTCTGGTCCGTATACAATCGTATACCCACTTCTATATGTGAGTTCTGAATAAATCATTTTGACCTCTTTTCATCTTTTTCACAAGGTTAATCCTTTCTTAGTCAACTCTCACTCACCATTTTCTTGGATTTATCTTTTGTTTCTCAGATCTCTATTTTTTCTTATACTGACCATGATTTTGATTTTTTGATTTTCTTTGTTGTCTTTAAATATAAGGTTATTGTCTGTGTTGAAATGGGTCTTTGAAGAATTTGTGATTTATGCTTTTTATGTTCCTGTTTACTGTTCAGCATAAAAATCCAACGTTAGCATCATCCGAAAATTTAGTAGTTAAGTTTTGGCCACTATGGTTCAATATTTGCAGATTTTGTGGTAAATTTGTGATTTGCAGTTATAAATTTATATATGTTAGATGCTTAGTGATGCTTTGTTGTGCTTTAAGTTTAGGGAAATGGGCTAATGATATATTCTGCGGAAACATGGGTAAAAAACACCATATTGATCTCAATCTGTTTTTGCTTTGTTGTGGTTTTGGAATATGGAACTCCGGTTATCCGAGGATAAGCTATATGAGGAAGTATTATGCTGATGATAGACACTTAGGCTGTGTTTGGTGGCAGATTTGGGAAGGGATATGAAAAGGGAAAGGATAAAGATGTGTGAAATTAGGTGATGCTTTGTTGTGCTTTAAGTTTAGGGAAATGGGCTAATGATATATTCTGCTGAAACATGGGCAACAAACGCCATATTGATCTCAATCTGTTGTGGTTTTGAAATATAGGCATATTTTATCTACATTTCACTTACCATTTCCTTTTTCAAATCTCTTCCTAAATCTCCCAAATCTCTCAACCAAACACAACGTTACTGTGTGGCTATTTGTATATTCATAACTCGATCGTGAGAGACTGCATATAGGTCTCATAACACAGCCAAAATTTCCGAGTCGAATGTCTATGCTTATGGCTCATAGTTCCACACTCACTTTTTCTTTGGAATGCGGATGTAGTTGATAGTTGGCCTGGCAAAAACCACCTTATTTTTGGAACTTCAATTGATATTGATACACATGAAGTGCACTCATTTGTATGGACTTTGGAGATAAAAATATGAGGTGGTGGATTGGTCTCCTGGTGTGTGGATATAGAATCCCTTTGTTAAAATGTGCCCATTAGGCTGCGTTTGGATCAAAGATTTGAGTAGGAGTTCGTGGAGGGAAAGGAAAAGGGCATGGAAAAGTGAACCAAAAAAAAAAACTTCTATTTCATAGACTTTTCCCATGCTTTTTTCTTTTTCTTCACAAGTTCCTCTCCAAATCCTTAATCCAAACACAACCTTAGTCTGACTAGAAAGAGATAACATCAAAAGCATTACATGTATGGAATTTAGAGGTAAAATTGAGGTGGTGGATTGGTCTCCTGCAGAGTGTGTGGATTGCTTCGTTAAAATGTGTTTCATTAGTCTAACTAGTAAAAGATATCATAAAAATCTTAATGAGGGGCTACCTCAAAAGGCTCTGTCTTACTTTTTATGGAGTTAGATCGTGTAGGTTGACTGATGTAATCCTTGTGCAATTATCCAATTTGGGCATATCAGCCTACTAGTTCATGTTTTCTCCTATAATTAAGTCACCAGCATGGAATTTTCTTTCCTTGTATGGGTTGGGTGGATTTGCAAAATAAAATGTGGTGCAGTGATAAATGTGCATATTTTGCTTGATTGCATGAGGATGAATCATATCTGCCAAATAGTTCTTTTAAGATGTTCATTTTTAAGCCTAGAACTGATATTTTACCCATGTTTTTTCCATTTTATATTGGCATTTTCTTTGCTAAAAATTTGATCTAACCATGTCCTTCCATTGGGTTTTCCACTTTTTATAGTCGTTTATGCATATTAAATATCTAAAGGGCACAGCCATGTGGCCATCTGTTTTGATTATAATTTCTTTATTTTAATACTGATCATAAAACAAAATTATTATTTTTAAATTTCATTAAATGAAAAAAAAAATGTTCCTTTTTTTACTGCTGCTCTTTTGTTGCCAGGAAAACAGCTAGTGACTCTGCGATCCAATATTTCTTGCTGGTAATTGGGTTAGAAATGTATATTCTATAGAAGTACAGTTGCCAGGATCTGCAATCCAATGTTTCTTGATAGTAATTGACGTAGAAATGTCTAATTCTACAGAAGTACTGTTGGCAGGACCTTAAAATTCAAACTGATTATTTGGATTTTTCCTTTGCAGATATTTAATAAATTTGGTGGGGAACAAAATTATGGCGCACCTTCTTTCAACTTATTGTTCTTTAGATATCTCCTCCAGCAACAAACTTCACTGTAAACAATCATACCAAGGCTCAAAAGTATTTCCTTCATCTTTTACATTACAAACTTCCAAGTCCACAATTGAAAGGCTCGTCTTGCGAGAAAAGAGGCCACAAAGATTTTTCAATGTCCGGGCGACAACTCTTCCTATAAACCAAGAAGCCAAAACTCAACCGAGTTCTGGGTCCCATCAAACCTCCACTGGATCATCCAGGCCCAAGCGGGTTATGGTCATTGGTGGCGATGGTTACTGTGGTTGGGCTACTGCCCTCCACTTGTCCAATAAAAATTATGAAGTTGCAATTGTTGACAGCCTTGTCCGTCGCCTCTTTGACCACCAACTTGGGCTCGACTCTCTGACCCCTATCTCCTCCATCCATAATCGCATCCGTCGTTGGAAATCTCTCACCGGAAAAACCATCCAACTCCACATTGGTGACATTTGTGATTTTGAGTTCCTTACTGAAACCTTCAAGTCTTTTGAACCCGATGCTGTCGTTCACTTCGGGGAACAGCGTTCTGCTCCCTACTCCATGATCGATAGGTCTAGAGCCGTATTCACACAGAACAATAACGTGATTGGAACACTTAATGTTCTCTTTGCTATCAAAGAGTTCAGAGAGGAGTGTCATCTGGTGAAACTTGGAACCATGGGAGAATACGGGACACCCAACATAGATATCGAAGAAGGTTACATAACAATTACCCACAATGGAAGAACAGATACATTGCCTTATCCCAAGCAAGCAAGCTCTTTCTACCATCTGAGTAAGGTACATGATTCAAACAATATAGCCTTCACTTGCAAGGCTTGGGGCATCAGAGCCACTGATCTGAATCAAGGAGTGGTCTATGGCGTGAAAACGGATGAGACTGAGATGCATGAAGAGCTCTGCAACAGGTTTGATTATGATGGGATATTTGGAACTGCATTGAATCGGTTTTGTGTCCAGGCTGCTGTGGGTCATCCACTTACTGTGTATGGCAAAGGAGGCCAAGTAAGATTCCTGAACTCAACCTTACAATAAACCATTGGTTGTTTCCACTGACTGTGTTTTCTTTTTCTTTTTTTCTTTTTTTAATTTTTTTCCTCGTTATATCTGGAATGAAATTGAGGTGTTCCTTGGGAATTGGACATCTTGTGACAGTCTCTAGAACTGTTTTTAACCATCTATTCTAGATTATTTAAAAAATTATTTAGAGGGTATAAACTGAGTAACCTAGGATTATTCTTTTTCAACCAAAATGCTTCTCTTGCTAGTTGTCAAGCGTCCCTCATAGTTTCTGCCAAAAACAGTTAATTGCTACCTGTTAAGAATTCAGTTGGGTAATTGTTTAATGTGAGATTAAAATGAGATCTTCTGCTATGGTTTATCAAGCTGTGTTAAGATGTCATTCCTTGTAGTTATTTCCAACCAAGGTTTTAAAAAGCGGCTGCAACCGTTACGTAACGCCGTTGCGTAACGGTTGTGGTGGTTGCCGCCACCCGTTACGGCCGCTTTTGTAGTGTGATTGAGATTCACAGGTGTGTCAGTCGTAGCGGCCGCTATAGCGGTCGTGACGGTGCCGTAACGGCCGTAACGGCCTGTTACGCACCGTTACGTAACGGTTCTGAATTGCTTCTTTCAAAAAAACACGCAAAAAAAAAAAAAAAATTGAAAATGGGGGAAGAGAGATAGAGAGAGAGAAGAAGGAAGATGGAGGATGGAGGAACAAGAGATAGAAAGAGAGAGAAGAGGGAAGATGAAGAACAGGTTATTGATTTGTTGAACGTATAAGACCAAGGTTTTAAAAAGCGGCCGTGACCGTTACGTAACGCCGTTACGTAACGGTTGTGGTGGTTGCAGCCACCCGTTTACGTAACGGTTGTGGTGGTTGCAGCCACCCGTTTACGTAACGGTTGTGGTGGTTGCAGCCACCCGTTACGGTCGCTTTTGCAGTGTGATTGAGATTCACAGGTGTGTCAGTCGTAGCGGGCGCTATAGCGGTCGTAACGGTGCCGTAACGGCCTGTTACGCACCGTTACGTAACGGTTCTGAATTGCTTCTTTAAAAAAAACACGCAAAAAAAAAAAATTTGAAATGGGGGAAGAGAGATAGAGAGAGAAGAGGGAAGATGAAGAACACGTTATTGATTTGTTGAAGGTATAAGACCTATGCTATTGTATTCAGCTGCTATCACTCAACTATTTTGTTTGTGTGTGTCTATTTATATATTGTTTGAAAATAATAATAATAAGTGTGGTCATTATCTACTTTACTTGATTAAAAAATATATATATATATATTTAAGCTTTTATTTATTCTCTTACTTTTGTCATTGTTTATCTTATATATAATAGTTAGTGATTGATTTTTTGTATAATATAAAGTTATTAATTATTAAAATAAAATGTAAAAAACTTAGTTTATAGTGATTTAAAAATACGAAATATATTGGATCAAACTTAAAAATTTACAAAAATTGATCAATATTTATTTTAAAACCCAATAAATATGATCATGGAAAAAAAATGTGCATATCTGTAAGTTTTTTTCAAATTGTGCAAAAAATAAAAAAAATCACGGTTCTGGTTACTGCAACCATTACGTTATGGCCTTTACACCCCGCAACCGCGTCACCGCCACCGTTACGGCGACCGCAACCGTTTTTCAGAACCTTGTTTCCAACAAAACCCAATATGTTTGGCTGCAGGAACTGAGAAGCCATATTCCCCCATTTATCTCCCAATGTTGTAAATCATATTGAAAAGAATGAGGACCATGCACTATGGATGGATATTGTTTGCCGACTAGCCAAAACCTGGTTTCTGTTGTAATATTTCTTAGACATCATGGTGGTACTGGGAAATGGCATAGTAGTGGTATTCTGTTTAACCATAGTTTGTTTGATCTGGTTTCCCACTCCTGAAGAAACCCAAGTATCTACGTTAAGTGTGTCTGGAAAATCCAGATCAAGGTCCACCTTATCCCATTTAATACCTTACTGCCCAATTTTTTTCCACTCCACCCAACATTAGATTGCCGATGCCACAAAAATCCAATGGAGTTACCATTGTTTTGAGATTTGTTTTCATGCACGAAACTTATGCTCCCTCCGTCCCAAAATATTGGTCCCTTTTGGGGAATCTCACTTTTTTTGGTTGTGCAATTATTACATTTTATAAATATTAACTTTCTAAAACTACCCTTTGATTTAAAATTGTAGTTACAATTTTTTTTAGAACATCAATTGTCATAATTATACTTTTTGTGTATATTAATGTTAATGAATTTAAAAGAAGTGCAAAATAGAAAATTCATGTTATTTTAGGTCTTGATTTTTGAAAAGAGACTAATATTTTGGGACAACGAAAAATGGAAGAAGGGACTAATATTTTGGGATTGAAGGAGTATTAGCAAAGGTCTAAAGGTCTTCATCCTTTCACATGCACCTTTTATGGGTAATCTCGGAGAATGGTCTTTTCCCTTTATCTTATCCTAAAATTTATCGGTATTGCCTTAGGCACTCATTTTGTGTGAATGAAGTTGGAGATGAGGTCTATACTCAGGTCCTGTTTGGTGCAGATTTTTGCAAATTGAAAACAGATAATCATAAAATAGAAGTTAAAATCACCTCTTTTCCTGTCTCACAGTAATCAGCTTTTTTCCACTTTGCAAAGCTATTTTTGCCTCAAAAAAAGCTATAAGCAGCCCCATAAATTGATGTATTGAGAGACAGGAATTGATGGGAGCTGGGATGACCAGACTGAGTGATGGAGATGTACATATCGTTAACACGACACCAGATTTTGAGTTGATTAGCCTCTTCTTCGTTTTTTCTTTTCTCCTGCTTTTTCCTTCTTTCTAATGGATGCGACTTACATGATGCAGACCAGAGGATACCTAGACATAAGGGACACAATTCAATGTGTCGAACTTGCAATTGCAAACCCTGCAAAGCATGGAGAGTTCCGAGTCTTCAATCAATTCACTGAGCAATTTTCTGTCAATGAACTTGCATCCTTGGTTACTAAAGCAGGAAAGAAGCTTGGGATTAATGTGCAAACAATATCTGTCCCAAATCCAAGAGTAGAGGCTGAAGAACACTACTACAATGCCAAGCACACCAAGCTCATTGAATTGGGACTTAAACCACACCTCCTTTCAGACTCTTTGCTTGACTCGCTTCTCAACTTCACCATTCAGTTCAAGGATCGTGTTGATGCAAAACAGATTATGCCCAGTGTTTCATGGAGAAAAATAGGTGTTAAGCCAAAGACTGTTGCAGCCTAGGCAAGTAGACAAGGTTGGGATGTGTTTGTGTGTGAATCAGTTGTTCTTGTGGTTGTATTTTTCTGAAAAGTGGTGTTGTATCTTTGTGAAGTTAGTATTCTTGAGAACTAAACAGTACTGCGGAATAAGGGTCTTGGTTGTGAAAGTAAAATTATATTTTGGGAGTTTTAGATTTTCTAGGGCAAATGTGTGTTACCAGCTTTATGTTTACAGTTAGCAGTTATGTCGACATAGTGACTTTCTTTAATTAATGCTAGAAGGTTATTTAATGGGATTTGGCATGAATTGTTTAGAATTGGATTGAATTGTTTCAGGATACCACCATAACCTTGGTTAAAGACATCTGTTTTAACGACCTTTTTTCTTCATTCTGGATTTGGTAAAGCAAGACACTTTTTTCTTCATTCTGGATTTGGTAAAGCAAGACAAGGAAGAGTCTTGGCTTTAAGCTTGATTTTCTGTACAGCTTTGGTATGTTCTGGAGTCCATGGTGGAGGATTTTTGCGAAGTCGGGCATAAAGAATAGCAGTATCTTGTGCTAAATTATGGGTAATAATCATGAATATAATTCAGACTATCAAGAAATTTTTGTAATTGAGTTTTATCTTTGATTTCATTAGGAAATTTTGATGCAAACTCAATACTTCTGTCAATGGAAATTATAGTGTCATTATGAATATTATGATTGGATGCTTGGTTTCTATTTTCTGCAGAACTGCTCATATGGCATCTTGGAAGTATTTTATCTTGCTTTTGAGAATCAAGATGAAAGCAAATTTGGCTCTAAAAAGCACAACAATAAGTACAATGCACAACTTTCGTATGTTTTTTATTTTTTGGGAACACTAAATTGAGTTCTTGTCAAATGGTTTACTTAGACGTATGTGTTTTCGTCTGCAGTTGTAAAGAGAGAGAAGAATGAAGACATCTTGTTTGGCACTGAATTAAATCTTGTTGTTGTTTCCTTGAACAGTGATACTAAATATCATAGTCAAAATCATTCTACACAAGTACTTCACAATACACCCAATTCAATCTCATTCTGGACCCATTTACTGAACTGACTGTTCCTTTATTTTTTTTTAGAGTCGGCAATTCACTTTCCATAGCCACGATGATTGCAGCCATGGAACAAATCCACATCGTATTCATTATAGAATATGTGATATGGTTCATCAATTTCCTCATTTGGTTGCTCAGATTCAAGAGATGCCAAACAGTAGATGCTGTGAGCGGTGTTTTCCCCAAGGAAGAGAATACAAGAAAAAGAGATCAGTTTGCAGCCATTGCCCATACTCAGATGTGATTTATGCAGACCACGTAGGGATCGTGGCCAAGCTTGTGCGCATTGTTCAGTTGGTATGCACTAACTATGGCTGCAGACTTGAATTCTAGAAAAAAAACATAACAAAATAGTCTCAAGTAATAGATCAAAAAATCATCCTAGTGTGAGCCAAAAAAATTAACTTATAATTTATTCACTTTTCCCTTCCATTTTATTTTCCTTCCAAAAATCTAGATCCAGACACGAACTAATTAAACTGCAACAGAACAGCAATAAGAGCAAAAGTTTGAAGAAAACTATATGTATCTGATAACAAACCATATTTGTGGAACTTCATTCAACTTCCTTTTGTTTGCAGACCCCCCCGGTGAAAAGCCATTGAAGGGTAAGATAATAGAAACTAAATAGAAACTTTACAATTCATCCCATGCGAACAAAAAGGTTAGGTCAGCAGAATTAAATTGAAAATTACAGTCAACTCTATTGCCAAACAAAATTAAAATGGACAATAAATATTGTCCCAAAGACTTAAAACATAACTCTTACATTTTGACACATTACCGCCACCAATCTTCCACAGCTTCCTTAGACTTCAATGGCAGTTGTCAAATTACAATTCTTCCCAAAGACAAGGGGCCTTCATGTAAAATTAAGTATATGCACATTGGGAATGGAAAATAGCCACTAGGCAATGAGTCTTACCATCAACATTGCTCGCTGCTAAGATCCCACCGGAGCAATTCCTTGAGCCTTGGCTGTCGCAGTTGCAGTTGCAGTTGCAGCCGCCGCCGCCGCCGCTGCAGCTGCGGCAGCAGCTGAAGCTGCTGCGTTAGTTGTCGAAGGTGGGAACAGATTGGATTGTGAAGTGCCATGTGGTGCAACCATTTGCTGTTGTTGTTGCTGCTGCTGCTGAGAGTTGACTTGAGCAAGCAGAGTCTTGATCTGACTACCCGTCAATGTTTCGTGCTCGAGCAACGCATTCGCAAGGGCATGGAGCTCCTTGCTATGGGTGGTGAGAATTGTCTTTGCATTGTTGTAAGCCCTTTCCAAGAACTCTTTCACTTCCTTCTCAATGAGAAGTCTAGTCTCAGTGCTCATGCTCTTCCCTTTGTCATCGTAATTGTGAGTAACTACTCCAACTTGTTTGCTCATGCCATACTTCGTAACCATAGCTCTTGCAAGATTAGTTGCTTGTTGGAGATCGGACGATGCACCTGAAGTAACTTCATTTTCACCGAAAATGAGCTCTTCTGCAACTCGACCCCCCATGCAAACATCGAGCCGAGCAAGCATTTGCTTGCGAGATATACTCGTCTCATCTTTGTCAGGCAATTGGGCAACCATGCCAAGAGACACCCCACGTGGCACAATTGTTGCTTTGTGAACTGGAAGAGCCCCATCGGTATGAATAGCCACAAGAGCATGGCCGCCTTCATGAAAAGCTGTCAGCTTTCGTGACTCATCAGATATAACGGCTGATTTGCGCTCACTTCCCATCATGATCCTGTCCTTCGCATATTCTAGATCAGCCATGCTCACAGCTTTAGCACCATCCATTGCAGCCTTTAGAGCTGCAATGTTGACCAAGTTTGCAAGATCGGCACCTGAGAAGCCAGGAGTTCCTCTGGCGATGATCATCATCTCAACGTCATCCGCCTTCAGGACCTGTCAAACAGTAGTTGCAATATGGGATCATGAATTAGAAGTAATGGTAGAAAGACTTTGGTTGCGTTTGGTAGAGCTTTAGAATTATGATTTGAGAATAGAGTTGTATTTTGAGTTTGTGAGTTTTAGAATTATGATTTGAGTGTGGAAAATTTGTTTGGTTATGAGTTTTAAAAAGAGTTTGAATTGAGTGATGTGACATATAATATTAAAAAATGAGTGTTTTGAAAAGTAAATGTGGAATTCATTTTCTAAAACTGTAACCAAATAACACACTCAAACTAAGGGGCATAATTAAACTTTAAAAGCTCTACCAAACAGAGCCTTTTTGTTTTCCTTTGCATGAGAAATTACTTGGATCCAAACAGAGTCTACAAGAAGTTACCCATCTTGGGAGTAAACATAATCTTTTAAAACCGAGGGTGACATAATAATTGCTTGCTTACAGGCATCACAGAAACGAAAACGTATGAGTACAAAAATTACATCAACCAAGCCAATGGTAGAAAGATGGCATCTGGCCCAGCATGAAATAAAAGACTAACCAAAGCCCTTTAAAGGATCACAACTGTCACTGCATTTTGGTAAAGGACATTCATCGATTACTATACTTTGGCATTGTGATATCCCTGTTCCGTAATATACTAATTGGTCCTTAATATGAGTATGATTATGTGTTTAATATGATTTTGTTTGCCATTATGTGAAAATATGTGGTTTTGAATTTCTATATGTTCACCGTAGGAATATCTGTTTGATTATCTGCTTTGCAAATCAAATTGAAGGCCCTATCGGCCACCGAAACCGAAATTGGTCGCGCCATTGTGATTGACATAATTTTTAAAGCATACGGTGAAATTTAATTAAAAAATTAATTCGGACCAGATTAAATTGATTAAATTAATGAATTAAGTGCTCAAATGTTTTATATTGAAATAATTGTGACTAGTGGGACTTTAAGAGAGGCACTACATCCTCAACTCTTCTCCTTTGTTACATTTTGGGCTGATTTCAACTCTAAGAAAAGAGAGAGGGATCGGCGAGAGAGCGAGGGAGAAGCAATTGGAGATTTGAGTAAGGAACTTGAGAAACTTGGAGATTCAACTAGAAATTGTGAAGAATTGAACCTCTAGGTAAGCACTTGACCCTGAATTTGGAAGATTATATATGCATACATGTATATAATTGTCTTGAATTTGCATAATTGAGCTTGAATTACATGACTCGTGTTGAATCTTGGTTGAAATCCATGTATTTGACCATCTTTTCATCATATGGGATGATAATGAGGGTTATATGTCACATGCATGTACAATCCATGGGAGTAGAAGTTTTGAATGCATGAAGTTGTTATGTTAGTAAAGAATTTGGTGGAAAATGAGCCATGCATGGATTTGATTTATGAAATTGAGCTTCAAAATGTTGTAATTTAGTGTTTGTACCATGTTAGTACACATATATATGAAGTTTGAGTCAAAATCATGCACTTGGAGCCTTTGAAATTGAAATTGAAGTTGAAGTTCAAGATCACATTCTGGATTTTTCAGAATTTCGATGTCCGCTCGAGCATGGAAACTGCCGCTCGAGCGTGAAATTCGTGCTCCCAGTATATTTTTGCAGGCATGATGTCCGCTCGAGCGGGGAAGTCCACGCTCGAGCGGGGAGCTATGTAGGATGGACTTCTGCTCGAGCGTCCAAGTTCCACGCTCGAGCATAAAAATGGTATAACCAGTACTTTTGCAGACCTCATGGGTCCGCTCGAGCAGGAAAGTCCACGCTCGAGCAGGGACCCTGTTTCTGAAAATTTTGTATGATCGTTCTGTGTTTCTTTTTCTGTTCTCTTTCACTTGCAAGCACTCTTAGGCATGTATTAAGCATTGAAATTGAATTAAAGAGATAAGAATGAAACCTAAAGAGGAAAATGTAAATTTAGAACGGATTCAATTGTTTGTGACCCTTTTGTGCTATATGATGTGTAGGGTCAAGCTCCAGGACAAATTCACAAGCCGATCACTGTAAGTAATATCTTAACAAGATATTTGAAATATACTGTTGTCCAATTGTTTATTTCTATGTAAGTTTTGTACGTTCATTAATTTGAATGGTGGACAACGATTGACATGAATGATTGGGCCGAAGGCCGATTGACATAAATGGTTGGGCCGAAGGCCGATTGATCTAAGTGATTGGGCCAAAGGCCGTCTGCTGTAACTGTTTCAAAGATTGCTTATGTATCTACCTCATTTGATATTATTCACTAGGCATTCGCTCACGCTCATTCATGTACATGTAGGTGAGCCAAGGGATGTCCAAAACCAGCCCCGGTGAAATTATGAGAAACAGTCGAAGTTTTGAAGAGTCAGCCCAAACGTCTCACGCATGAGACCCGTCTTCGCCCTTTTGTTGTCTTGTTTATTTTGTCATGTTGGCGAGGACTTTGTATATACCTGTATATAGTTTCGATGGGTTGACTTAGACTTATATGATCTTGTCTGTACAGAACTTATGCTACTGTACTTCTGTTGTGAGTTATTAATGTATATATGTTTGGTTGTTTGGATGTGCCATGTAAGCACAGCACTATGGACAAAGTTGTGAACGGCTTCCGTTTGGCCCCCATTAACTCTGTTAAAATACATTTGTTTTGGTTTGAGGCCGTAGGTAATCGCATGTTTACTGGCCGGTTATGTCCTTAACCACGGGGGCGGGTTCGGGTCGAGGGAGAAGCAATTGGAGATTTGAGTGAGGAACTTGAGAAACTTGGAGATTCAACTAGAAATTGTGAAGAATTGAACCTCTAGGTAAGCACTTGACCCTGAATTCATAAGTTTGAAATTGTGATCTTGTAAGTTCAAGGGTTGTTTGTGGTCAAGAGCATGTATTGAGTTGGTTTTGTTGAATTGGAAGATTATATATGCATGCATGTATATAATTGTCTTGAATTTGCATAATTGAGCTCAAGGAAGCACGGGTGCGGGTACGAGTACGGTACGGGTACGAGTGCGGGTACGCCGATTCGGCAAAACTCAAAAAAAGTACGATACGGGTACGGCTACGGTACGCCGATATTTTTTTATTTTTTTTTAAATATAATTTTGATTAAAGGATCCAACCTACAAATTAAAATTAAATATCAAAACTAAAAAAAGAACTACTCATTTTCCTATAATTTAAAACCATTAAGCGTTAAAAATAATATTTGTGAAATCTCTCACTTTGATATGTTATGCACTGTGAATTTGTGATCATAATTTATTTTTAAAATCTTTCTTTTTGCTCATCAATTTGCTATTTTTATAGGGTGAGACCAAAGAAATAACAGGAGACCAAAGAAAGATTTAAAGTTAATTACCAACAATAAAGGAAAAAAATTCTCAATTGGTGCAGGTTGTCAATTGCAATTTGCATAATACATAAAATTGCATCATTCCCAACAACTACTAATCAACTAATACAGTATCAATTTTTAATGTTTTGTGCATAAACTTTAAAGTTTGTTATGATTAAAGATTTAATAAAGAAATTCTAGGAGGATCTAAAGCAAAAACATAATGCATAGTCATACACAGAACTACCCTTTATAGGCTTTGTTATTTTTTTTTGTTCAAATTGCTTTTTAAAAACATTAAAATCATTTGTTGATATGCTTCTACAATTTATACAGACAAACAGGACAACAGAGAAACATCAAAATTACTGATCTGCAAGGGCACCAAAAAAAATAAAAAATAATAATAATAATTGCTAATTTGCAAGGGCAGGAAAAAAAAAAAAAAAAAAATTTGGCCTTGGCGTACCCATGGCGTACCCACGCCGTACCCATGCCGTACCCATGCAGTACCCGAATAAGTCAAACGTACCGGACCCTCTTTTGCCGTACCCGGTACGCGTACCGCCGTACCGGTACGCGTACCCGCACCCGGTAAGTACCCGGTACTCGTACGGCACTATTTTTGGAGTACCCGTGCTTCATAAATTGAGCTTGAATTACATGACCATCTTTTCATCATGTGGGATGAGAATGAGGGTTATATGTCACATGCATGTACAATCTATGGGAGTAGAAGCTTTGAATGCATGAAGTTGTTATGTTAGTAATGAATTTGGTGGAAAATGAGCCATGCATGGGTTTGATTTATGAAATTGAGCTTCGAATTGTTGTAATTTAGTGTTTGTACCATGTTAGTACACATATATATGAAGTTTGAGTCAAAATCATGCACTTGGAGCCTTTGAAATTGAAATTGAAATTGAAGTTGAAGTTCAAGATCACATTCTGGATTTTCCAGAATTTCGATGTCCGTTCGAGCGTGGAAACCGCCGCTCGAGCGTGAAATTCGTGCTCCTAGTATATTTTTGCAGGCATGATGTCCGCTCGAGCGGGGAAGTCCACGCTCGAGCAGGGAGCTATATAGGATGGCTTCCGCTCGAGCATCCAAGTTCCACGCTCGAGCATAAAAATGGCATAACCAGTACTTTTGCAGACCTCATGGGTCCGCTCGAGCGGGGAAGTCCACGCTCGAGCGGGGACCCTGTTTCTGAAAATTTTGTATGATCGTTCTGTATTTCGTTTTCTGTTCTCTTTCACTTGCAAGCACTCTTAGGCATGCATTAAGCATTGAAATTGAATTAAAGAGATAAGAATGAAGCCTAAAGAGGAAAATGTAAATTTAGAACGGATTCAATTATTTGTGACCCTTTTGTGCTATATGATGTATAGGGTCAAGCTCCAGGACAAATCCACAAGCCGATCACTGTAAGTAATATCTTAACAAGATATTTGAAATATACTGTTGTCCAATTGTTTATTTCTATGTAAGTTTTGTACGTTCATTAATTTGAATGGTGGACAACGATTGACATGAATGATTAGGCCGAAGGCCGATTGACATGAATGATCCGAAGGCCGATTAACATAAATGATTGGGCCGAAGGCCGATTGATATGAATGATTGGGCCAAAAGTCGATTGACATAAATGGTTGGGCCGAAGGCCGATTAACATGAATGATTGGGCCGAGGCCGATTGATCTAAGTGATTGGGCCAAAGGCCGTCTGCTGTAACTGTTTCAAAGATTGCTTATGTATCTACCTCATTTGATATTATTCACTGGGCATTCGCTCACGCTCATTCATGTACATGTAGGTGAGCCAAGGGGCGTCCAAAACCAGCCTCGGTGAAATTGTGAGAAACAGTCGAAGTTTTGAAGAGTCAGCCCAAACGTCTCACGCATGAGACCCGTCTTCGCCCTTTTGTTGTCTTATTTATTTTGTCATGTTGGCGAGGACTTTGTATATACCTGTATATAGTTTCGATGGGTTGACTTAGACTTATATGATCTTGTCTGTACAGAACTTATGCTACTGTACTTCTGTTGTGAGTTATTAATGTATATATGTTTGGTTGTTTGGATGTGCCATGTAAGCACAGCACTATGGACAAGATTTGAATTACTTCTGTTTGGCCTCTATACTCTGATGAGTTTTGCTTTATTTGGTTTGACGCCGTAGGTAATCTCGTGATTACTGGCCGGTTATGGCCTTAACCCATAGGAGCGGGTTCGGGTCATGACAGGCATGGTCTTCTAAGGAAGCAAAAAATATCTTTCGAAAGAGTAATAATACCTTTGACATATGCGATTCCAAAATTTGCCTCCGCCCTTCGACATCTGGATTTGGGACAACAATGTGACGATCAAACCGACCAGGTCTCACCAGCGCCTTATCCAATGATTCTGGGAAATTAGTTGCAGCAATCACAATGATCCCTTCATTTTGTCTGAAGCCATCCAGTTCAACAAGCAACTGATTCAAGGTCATCTTCATGTACTGTTGGTCCTTTGGGTTACGGCTTCCTCCAATGGCATCTATCTCATCCATGAATATAATACATGGTGAACGCTTCTTTGCAGCAGCAAAGAGATCTCTCACCCTTCGGGCTCCAACACCCACAAACATTTCTTCAAACTCACTGCCACTGCAAGAGAAAAAAGGCACTCCAGCTTCTCCAGCTATAGCCCTTGCTAACATAGTCTTGCCAGTGCCAGGTGGACCAACTAACAAAACACCTTTTGGAAGCTTGCCACCAAGACGAGTAAAGCACTGCAAAAGCAAAAGTTTGCAAATTTGGGAGGAAAATGTGCAAGAAATTAACATATGAACAGCTATGTTGTGCAAATGTTGATATAGCTACTTCACCATATAGATGGCTAAGTAAGCCTACAAACAGCCATTTAAAAATAAAAGAAATGAAGAAGGTAAAGGGAGCAAAAGCATAACGAAGAACACATAATTACTCATGTTACAAAAGTAGATAGAAACCAGGACACCAAACACAGAACAAGGCCTGTAGATATTACCTTAGGGTCTCGAAGATAGTGAACAATTTCTTCAAGCTCAGCTTTTGCCTCATCAACACCCTTGACGTCACTAAATTTTGTGTTAGATTCTATGCTGGGTTGCACCTCTTCATGTAGACTAAGTCCTGAAAAGTATAGACAGCAACAGAAAAGGAAAAACGTCAGGGCTGGCTCAACCTTGAATGAGGCCTAAAGTGGAATTTTAATACAAGGCTCTTTTATATTTAAATTATATTATTTATCAACTTTTTGCGTATTTTTTTTATGTAAATTTAAATTTATATTCTTGTAAATAGAATTTTGGGTTCAATGATAAAACCCTGGCCTAATAACCTTGAAGTTATGGGTTCAAAGTCATGAGGCGAGAGATTTTTTTAAAACTTTCAGATGAGAAAAAAAAAAAAAAAAGACCTTTACAATTGGAGTCTTTGAACATAAATAATATTTTTATGAATTCTAGGACAAAGATGTTTATTATGGGCATTTGAACAAAATATGTATTTTCAGTATTTTGAGTCTTTTATCAATAAATAGGAGATTTTTATTTCTAAATATCACGATAATAATATCAAACTAGATAATCAACTTTGTAAGAAACACATACCAACAAACACAATATTCATAAAAAGAAAGTTTCATGATAAGAAAGAAATAAACTACTAAGAAAAATGCCCTTATAGAATAAAAAATAAAAAATTATCCTTTTGGCAAAAATTGTCCATGATCTCAGTTGATAGTGTATATATGAGTGATCAATTGATAATAAGTTTTTTTTATTTTAATATTTGGACAAGAAGATAATTTTATTTTGAACAGTTAGATAAGAAATATAATATATATTTTTTAAGCATTTAACAAAGAGAATTGAAACTTAGGGGCCTTCCGAAATCAGAGGCCTAAAGCGACAGCTTTGTTGGCTTAGCCATTAAGCCAGCCCTGAAAAACATAATAATCACTTAAACATAAATGTATTGGAACCAGATAACAAAAGAAGCCTGCAACATCAGAAGATAGTAGTACCTTTACTAATTCCTCTATCTTCAATGAGTGCTCCAACACCAGAAATCAAGAGAAAGGCCATGCCCAGAACACGAACTGTACGCCACAACTGTTCCTTGAAATATCCTCCTTCTGAAGCCACCATATGTATAGGTGCACTAGGAGTTCCAAGAACACCATCTTTTGTAGCTTTTCCCACATCCCTAAAAGCTGAAAGGCCGCCTACATTTTCTTCCTCTGCTTGTGAGTTAGCAGCACCTACAATCCCTGCAATGCCCTGTTTAGTTGGTCAAAACTGAAAAAGAAAAAGCAGATTGCCAAAAAACAGAATTTCTGATGAAGTTGCAAAATTCTTCTGAAGGGGTGATGACAAAAAAAATTTGTCAGGCAAGTTTGGTGAAATATGTTCTTAAAGAACAATTTCATACGTGCTTTTTTAAAATTAAGAAAATAAAAAAGAAATTCGTAAACAAAATTGTTATTATAAAATACAAGAAGCCCAACCGTGGAGCTAAGACTCCAAGCTCCCCCATGAAACAAAATTCCCAAGGTCTTGAAGTAAATTGGAGCAAAGAAACAAGTCTTCCTTCATTTAGTACATAAAAAGGTAAAGTTGTTACTAGTAGAACATAATATAACATGTAAAACATAAAAGCAACAAAATAAAAGGGTGAGAGAAACTTCAAAGGACAACTGGAAAGACTGGTTATTCCTTTCCGCATCCCCACCTCTTGCAATGTCTTGAGCAACTCACTTTCATCCAACCTATCAACTTTGACCAAGGCTTTCACGTATTCAGCAATTGCTGATGGGTTAGAGTGAAATGAAGGTTGACTCTCAAATAGCCTTACCACAGCTTCAGGATCATTTCGATGATAAAGTTCTTTTAGATAAGCGACATCACTTGATCCATCTGTATCACATACTTTGCGAGATAAACTGCCAACATAACTCGACTGAAATCTTTCTTGAGCACCTGAAAGTCTATTCCCTGCACAAAGAGGGAACTGTCAATTATTTGTCCTTTATTATAAAGAATGACATTAAAAAAAGAAAAGAAAAGACCTGAAACTATATTCCCTGCAGAAAGGGAAACCCATCATATTATTTATTTTTTGTGTTATAAAGAATGACATAAAACAAAATAAAATAATCTGCACGAATGGCCTAGTAGTTAAGGTTAGTATAATAGTACAGGAGGGAGTTATCGACGATCCACAAATATGACTTGAACTCAATATGAGTCCAAGGGTTTGGGTTTGGGTTTGGGTTTGGGTTTGGGTTTGGGTTTGGGTTATGGTTATGTAGGTTCATGACATAAATGGGTCAACATGTTTAATCCATACAAGTAAATTATATTGAAAATAAGCACCAACAGATGGGGCGAAGCCTTGCACATTCAGCCTAGATAGAAATTTTATAAAGCCAATATATCCATGAAAATGCACAAATTCCCCAAACAGACAACAAAGGAAGAAATAGAAGAAAGTCAAGACTCGGTCATCTAAACTCGTAGGGAAACAAGGAAAATTACCTTCAAGCAATAAATAGGGAGCTACGAACCCTCAAAAGACCTGCAAAACGTACTTAAACCACCTAACTACCCATTTAAGAAAGGCTATTCTAGCATGATACTTATCGTTATTATATGCAAAACTATCAATAAGTAGGTGTAATAAAAAACAAAAAATTCTTTCCTTTTTTACTTAATTAAATTATGGATGAACAAGTTGAATAGGTTGTAAACAAGTCATATGCTATTGGGTTAGCAGGGTAAGCATGCTAAACCTAGCAAGACCTATTTTATTAAATGAGAACATGGGTTATATCATCTTACCCATATAATAAGAGGGTCAACATTGGGTTGAGGATTTTCTATCATGCCTTGGCACAATGGCAAGTGGTATCTGCACCCAGCATTGTAGGTGGGTTCAAGTCACAAGAATCAATCTCTCCACGAAAATAAAAAATTAAAAAAGAGCAGAAGTGGGAGCCTTGTGCACTAGGTACAACCTTCACTTTTATATCTTGTTCATGTTATTTTCGTTGTGCCCAAAAGCATCTTATGAAAATGTTCCAATTTGTAGCTACTATTCAAAACACTAGATGATACCCTGTGGTTCATGTATTCCACTAAGAATCTGATGGGTGGCCTCTTCTAAGTTTCTATTGCATAAGTATGTTCATATCATCTAGTGATTGACTTGGCAAGTTTTAAAAGTTAGATAGAAAAATCATCCAACCATCATGACTTCACCTCCACAATCTCTTTAGTATGATTGATATAATAAAAATCAGCAAGGCCCTCCTCGCCCTGGTTGAAAATGAAAAAATCTGGTTTTTGCAAATCCTCTTTTCATTATACTTCAAGACCATTGGCAATGTTGAACCGTTCCAACATGGGTTCAACTTCAGATGGCTACACAATGGCCAATCTTACAATGGAATTTACCAGTCATTCTAAGGAACTACTCTCTGATTATTGAACAGCCTACCATCCTATGATCATAGCAAGAAAAGAAAAGGGAAGAAAAAAAATGTTTTAAAAAAATGGCAACAAGCCTGTCAAATTTTGTTGACTAAATGCTAAAAGTCGACAACACCCTAAAAGATGTTTGTACATAATGTGAAGACAAACGTAAACTCCTGATTGTCAATCTGTGTCGGCAGAGCATGGGGTTCAACGCTGATACATTCATTGAGGCATTAACCAATATAACGGCGGAGCATGGGGTTCAATGCTGATGCATCCATTAAGGCATTAACTAATATAATAACTATCAAATTTTATGTAATTGTCTACATCACCATACAAAGAAATAAAAGATCATGTCAAGAGTCCATAGAGAAAACATGATTATGCAGATATATCAAGTTTAGTAAAGTCAAGAGATCAACTGATGAAAGTACACAAATCAATAGCAAAGTAAACAATTGCACAAATACATGAATTGAGAGTGCGAACAAATCGTACACACACCTCCAAACCTTTGGTAAGTCAAATAAGATCTAGGTAACAAACTGTTTAATTGCTGCCTCGATACCTGTCGCAATGTAAACATAGTCAATAATAATACAATCAGAGAAGAGACCAAACATAAAACACCAGAATTCGATACTGATGTTTTGTACTCAAAGCATTGGGTAAAATCATCCAAACAATCAAGAACAAATTTTCCCAAGTCAAACTCAACGACCCTAAACCTCACCATTTCCACAGAAGAGATAAAAAATAATATGATAAATTTAATCAAAAACCACACCATAAAAGAAAAACTAAAAAATATAGCAATTACAAGCAAAAAAGAGCTATGAAAGCTGATCAGTTCCATAAAAATGCAATCTCTTCAAAAAATAAAAAAAAATAACCCACATCACCTTGTGCAATTGAAAAAATGAAAAAGCAATCTTCACCCCAAACAGCTTAGTTTCGAGACATAAACTTGAGGTTAATCAGCATATTATATAATGTGAATAAATTTAAGGGTTATTGTCTGAAAACCCTAGAGAACACTTTAGATTAGGGTTTTCGTCATCTTAACAATCGAGAAGCGTCATGAATAGTGAAGACGATTCTCAGTATAATCAGAGAAATTGTATGAAAAAACAATTGATTAAAGAGGGATGTAGGATGTGGGATGAATGTTGAGCTGACCTGCGTCAAAAGGCGCCTGAAACCCATCTGCCGATAGCCTTGCAAAAGTCCTCTCTCTCTCTCTCTCTCTCTCTCTCACTATTCTACCATGGATTATTTTGGGAAGATAATTTCAGCGTTTAATCTATTTTAAGTGATATATATATATATATATATTTTTACGTATTTTTTTTAAATTAAAAAATCAAATTTTAATTAATTTTCAAAATATATATATATTTTCTCTCTCTCTCTGCGTAATGGTTTTTTTTATTTTTGATCGGACTCTCCTTGTTCATTTTCATTCCCAAATTGAACCGAAGAGGTGATCTCCGATCCATTAGGCTCATTTTATAGTTTTATTTTAATAATTTAAAATATTTATATTTCAGAATTTGTTAAGTATATTATTTTTATAAAAAATTAAGTCAATGAGATAATAGTAATTATATATTTAACTTTAAGAAAATAAACTGTTTATATAAAATTAATCTGAATACATAATTTTTGTTATTCGATTAATTTAATTTTTTACAATAATAATGTATTCCACGAATTTTTAAATGTAAACAATTCAATCTATCAAAATGAAACTAAAAGTAAATCCAATAAATGTCTAATCCAATTTGAATCCAGTCTATTAAAGAAAAGAGTCATGATAGAGTGCCCCTCTAATCACCATCCCCACAACCCCCCACAGACACGTGGCGGGTGGTGATTGGAGGATGAGGAAAAAAAGAAAAAGAAAATATAACTAATGAGAGAGAGAGGGGATCAAAGAGGGTGGGGGAAAAATGGGGCATGAAACATTTTTGTAAAGGAAATTTGAAAGATGAATAAATTTGAGAGAGAGAAAGGCAAATGAATTTTCCTTATTCCATCCCATTTTTATCCTCAACGGTGCTGGAGGCTCCAGTCACCAAGCACCCCACCATTTCCCACACACATGTAGAGGTTGGTCATTGAGTCTAAAAAAAAAAAAAAATTGGCACCCCACTGGGCCCTGGGGTCACCCTCAGTGGGGGTCTGTCGTTTTTTTCTTTTATCCTAGTATTATTTTTTATAAGATAAATTAAAGTAGATTACACCAACACCTCCAGCCATACAATATATCATTCAATGTGTACTAATTTATTCACTAATTGGAATGTTAGTTTGATCAACGGTTTAAAATTTATAACCCATCATTGAAACTATTCTGCTCTACTATTAATACATATTTTTTTCCTTCAAATGAAATATCAAAGATATTTAAGATATAAAATTTATTACAAATTAATGTTATATATATATAAAATATTATGTAAAATTAAGTAATGTTATATATATAAAGTATTAAGCAAATTAATATTTTATATTATGCAATACTTAATAATTGTTTAATATGATTGTTCAATCAACTAACAATTAAAACCGTCCAAATCGTGATTTGATTATTTATTAATTTACAATTTAATTTACAATTTTACTCTCAAAATATACCGAATCGCACTGTATCGCACTGTGTACACCCATCCAACATGTCTTAAAATTTACAATAATGACAAAAGCCTCCTTGGAAATTTTTGTCCATTTAAATTTGAACTTAATGTTCACTTACCATAGTTTTCGATCCTGTGATATAAATAATTCATTTTACAAAACTCTTTGAATATATTATTCATAAAAAAATAGATTGTTTATTTTCAAAATCAAACTTATCATCTATTTTTAAAAATTGAATTGTTAATCTTCAAATATAGTTTTTAATAATATGTTAAAATATACACAAAGAATAATATAAACTATATTGTTAATCTTTAAAATGTTCCAAGCAAAAAAAAAAAAAAAATCATTGAAATGTTAAAGAAATTTTGCCCAATTATTCATTTAAAATTGTTGGTTTTAGTATATAGCAAAAAGTTGCATATTAATAATATTCACCCTATTTGGTTTTGAATTTTCAAAAATAGTTTTATGAATTTTTAATTCGTATTTTTGTATTTTTAATGATTTTTTGAAAAAAAAATTAATCAATTTTTTTAAAAAAAAATTATATCCACTTAATCTTAATATACTTGAAAAGTAAAAAAAAAAATGTATAAAAATCTTTAAAAAATTCATTGAATACAACAAAATACCAAAATATATTGAATTTTAATTCTTATTACAAGTATTATATTTTTTTAAGCATATTTAGATTAAATATATCTGAAAAAAAATTGCATAAAATATCTAAAAAATTCGCAAAAAAATAATAAACATGAAAAATAAAAAATTCAATTTTCTAAAAAATAGACTCAATTTTCTAAAACCAAACATGGTAAATTTTTTTTTTTGAATTAGAAAAAAAAAAAGAAAAAGATATTGTCATCATTACATCCGTAAGCCTAAGTCTCAGAGTGACCGGTTGCCAACCTGATTTGAACCAACTCATAAGAAGAGACCCACCACCAAAATACCAATAAAATCCAGTCGCATGTCATAAACGAGTCCAAATTCCAATCAAAACTAGGAATGGCAACGAGACGGGGCGGGGGCGGGGCCGGGACCACACTCCCCGTCCCCGATCCCCGATCCCCGATAGTGAGAAATTCCTTGTCCCCGCCCCCGATTCTTGACGGGGACCCCATATCCCCCCCCTCTCGCTCCCGCTCCCGCTCCCGCTCCCGCTCCCGATCCCGATCGGGGATCAAGTATCCCCGACCCCGCAAATTCCCTGACCGAATTACAGTATTTTTTTTTTCAAAAAACAATTTTAAACATCCTAGTAAGAATCTGTACATGTTTTAAAATTAAAAGAACTTTCATCCTATCACAAAGAACTTAAAAAATCAATACATAATCTGTACATGTTTAAAAAATCCTATCACAAAGAACTTAAAAAATCAATACATAATTTTTAATTTTTCAAGCTAAAAAATTTGTCAAGCTAAAATCAATACATAATCTGTCAAGCTAAAAAATCAATACATAATTTGTCAAGCTAAAAAATCAATACATAATCTGTCAACATATTCAAATAAGATAGGCTACCCAAAAAATTCAACATGTTGACAGATTCCATCCAGCAGCCATAATCTATCAACTGAAATAGCATACAGTCCAGCAGCCCATAGAAAGGAAAATTCAACAAGTTGCAAATATAATAATTAGTCTCAAGCACAGCTCGCATGGGATAGGCTACCCAAAAATAAAATTAAAAAAAAAAAACAAACAAATCCATTACAATATAAAAAATAAGATTGTCCAATACAACTTTCATCATCTTTCAAACCACATTACAACTTTCATCATCTCCTTCAACTTGAATTCTTGTTAAATAACAAAAAGGCAAAAAAAAAAAAAAAAATCAATACTATTAATAAGATGTAAAAAATGTATAGTTAAAATTACAGCGTGACATTCTCTTTCTACACAGATATACAAAGTGGCATTCTCTTTCTACAGATATAAACAGATATACAGAGTGACATTCTCTTTCTACACATATATACAAAGTGACATTCCTAATTAGAGTGACATTCTTTTTATAAACAGATATACAGATCAACAATAAACATATATACATTAATGATAAATAATAAATAGATAAATAAAACTACCATTAAAGATAAACAACAGATCAATAATAAAATTGCCAGACATATATATAAATGATCTGCTTCATATATAAAATAAACAGAGCATAACATGATTTGCTTTATTTCTTTTTTTGTTTTCAAATTCATAATAAATAAATATATTATATATATATAAAAAAAATGATGATCTGCTTCATTTTTGTTTACAAAAATAATCTATACAAATAGATATATATTATAAATAAATTTAGAGAAAAAAAAGACAAAGATTGAAGAAAATATATATACACCCAGATATATATAATATACACATATATGTAAACCCTAGATTGAAATCCCTAGAGAGAGAGAGATACCTAAACAGAGAGAGTAGTGACGGATGAGCGGCGGTGAGGGAGATAGAGTAGCAGCCCCGTCGTGTGTGTGTGAGAGAGAAAGAGAGGGGGAGGCAAAACGGTAAACGACAGAGGCGGTAAGGGAGGATCGGTGGTGACGGAGGATCGCCGGTGAAGAGAGAGGCGTGGCGGTGAGAGAAAGAGAGAGGTGAAGACCAAACTAGTGGCGATGGCGAGCGAGAGAGAGAGAGAGAGAGAGAGAGAGAGAGAGAGAGAGAGAGAGCAGCGCCGTGTGTGAGTGAGGCTGAGTGTGTGTGTGAGAAACCCTAAACAAACACAAGCGTATATATATACCCAGGGACAAAATGGTAAATTTACCTTGGGGATTAAACAAGGCGGGGTCGAGGCTGAAGCATCTATCCCCGTCCCTAGCCCGGATATCATCGCGGATGAACTTTTGAATACCATCCCCAGCCCATCGGGAATATTTTTCGGTGAATAACCATTGAATTCGGGGTCGGGGGGTTGGGTCTCCTTCGGGTCGATTTCAGATTGTCATACCTAATCAAAACACAAGACAAAATCTCCATAGAAAACTAGCTACAAAGTAGCAAAATTTCGGTCAGTGTAAACTAAACATGGTAATTTTTTTTTTTACTCACCAAACATGGTAATTAATAGTGTAATTGTGATACACTATTTTTCCACCACTTATATCCACAATTTTTTGACACATAAAATGCAAATTCAATCTTTAATCAGTTTGTCGCATGCAGTCGGGCATTGGCTAGATGATCCGCCCTACCTAACCTAAGGTTTAAAATTTATTTTAGGGATTTTTTAAAAAGATTTTTGACATTAAGATTTTATAAGATAATTGATATATAATATTTTTATAGTTTTGAGTCGCTAAATATTTTATAGAGAAAATTTGACATAAAAAAATTTCGGCCCGACACAAAGAAATTTCAATTTTCATAGACAAATTTCTCTGACTTCACAGAGGAATTTTTAATTTTTTTGGTATAATCACAAAGAAATTTCATCAAGAGACCTTAACTAATAAAAAATATATATTAGATCTCTCATACTATCCAAAGTTGGAGAATGATATTTTCCTAATTTTTTCTTTATTTTAATTTACATTTTTGGTGCATGGAGTTAGATTATGTTGAATTTTTTAACTCATTTATTAAATGTGTTTTGAAGTATGAATAAAAAAAAAAAGATGAGTATGAAATAGTTCACCAAGCCTGGCCTAGTCCAATTATAAAGTATATTATACAAGGAGATATATATTAATATATATTATTTTTTAGGTCATATCTCAACATATAAATACGATTAAAGGGTGTTTGGATTATGAACGAAATTGGATAGGAGAGATTAGAATCACTGGACTTGAATTCTTGGATTGTGAATCCTCGGATATGGATATGTATCCTGTGTTTGTTTTTTCATGGGATTAGATGTCTGGATAGGACTATTTTCAGTGAATCCAACATTTGGTTGGACGAACTGAATAAGATCAATGAACAAATGACTATTTTACCATTTTTCAATTGTTTACTAAGTAATAGCAATATTAAACATATTTTTAATATTTTAATTTTTTAGCTAGGTTAAATAAAATTTTCTTTTCTTTTCTTTTTTACATAATTAAATAAATTTATTTTTTAAAAATTAAATAAATAAAATATCAATAAAAATATATGTTATTTTTTAATTAAAATTTAATAAAATAATGAAATTAAATAAAACATCTATTAAAATTTAAATAATGAAATTAAATAAAATATAAACAAAATTTTAAAATAAAACATCAATAAAATATATATATAATAATTATTTTAAAAATTAAATAAATAAAACATCAATTAAAAGTTAAATAAAATTATTTTATTTTTAAATTGAGACATTTAAATTTTATTGAATTTTACTAAATATAATACATAATTAAATAGTAGAGAGTCAAAATGATCATTTCATCACCTAATCCCATGTGATTGTTATCTCATGAAAATTGTCCCACACCTCTCTGGACAATGTAATCCCACATATGGGGGATAAGGAGACCGATCGAACCCCATGTTCGGCGGACTTAAAAAAAACAAACAAACGCTAGATAAAAGACTTATAATGGATTACAATCCAAATAGTGTTTAACATAAAATAGGACTAAAGGATAATAAAAAAGGAGAATTACATTGATATTTTGCCAGCAAAAGATATTTACAAAATAGTAAAAAATATTAATAATTAAAATCATAAATTTTTGGAGCATTTATACATAAGTCATAATTTATGAACTTATACTTCATTAAGTCCTAACTAAGTTTTTTTAAATCTTCAAGTTTCATTAAATTTTTAATAATTAGAATTGCCTTTCAAATAATGATTGTTCATCATTTATGATTATTTATAAAGGAACATGATGATTTAATATTTATTTTGATTCTCAAAACTTTAAAACATCAACTTTTAAATTGAAAAAAACTAAAAAAAAAAATTATGCGCAAAAAGAAAAAAAAAATTGTGAAAAATTTGATAGGATCTAATATGTTCTTAGTTTTAACAATTGGAAAAAACTGATAATATTCTCAATTTTACTAAACAAGACTTATTGGTTCAAAAAATCTTAGATAGGATCTGAACTACCATAATATTTGTAAACAGAACTTTTAAATAATTAACTCCAAATTTTTTTTACTGTTTTGATAAATAATTTCCACTGTCAAAATGTCAGTGTAATTCCCCCTGACAAAAATATGCTCCAGCCCAGCCCAAAGAACATCCAATGATCTTCATAGTAACAACATTTAAGTAAGATTAAGGAAAATAGATAGTTTTATTAATGCAATACAATTTTTTGGACTTTGCTGCATAGTAAAACAACAAACTTATATTAATGTTTTATTTTTAAATATATAATATACTGGTTTATAGGACAAATTTAAGGTTATAATATCATTTTAGAGCAGAATTTAAGATGAAAAATTTTAAGCCCAATATCAAATTAAACTAGACTTGGGCATATAAATTTTTTTGCCCTTTTTACCCACATATATGACAAATCAAATTGTTTCCAGTGAATGAGTTGTTGCACTTATTTTGGAGTGTAAGAAAATTAGTGTAACCAAATCAAGCGTTCAAGATTCACTGAAATTTCAATTTTTAATAATGTATAGTCTATTTTAATTTTGAAATTTTTTATATTGATACACATTGAATGAATTGACAAATTCTATTTAAATATTTTTATATTTTAATTCTTTGAAAATTATTAAGAAAAAATGTAACCAATGATATACACTTCAACAAACTTATATTAATATTTTATTTTTAAATATATAATATACTGGTTTATAGGACAAATTTAAGGTTATAATATCATTTCAGAGCAGAATTTAAGATGAAAAATTTTAAGCCCAATATCAAATTAAACTAGACTTGGGCATATAAATTTTTTTGCCCCTTTTACCCACATATATGACAAATCAAATTGTTTCCAGTGAATGAGTTGTTGCACATATTTTGGAGTGTAAGAAAATTAGTGTAACCAAATCAAGCGTTCAAGAGTCACTGAAATTTCAATTTTTAATAATGTATAGTCTATTTTAATTTTGAAATTTTTTATATTGATACACACTGAATGAATTGACAAATTCTATTTAAATATTTTTATATTTTAATTCTTTGAAAATTATTAAGAAAAAATGTAACCAATGATATACACTTATACAATAAAGAAGCAAGTCATTTATAGAACAATCTTAAGCATTTTTCTTTATTTGTTCCCAATGTGACATTATATAAATTTCTATAAAATCTCTTAAAACTTCAGGTGAATTCATCCTTCACTCAAAATTGATAAAATCAAACTATAACATGCGATTGGTTTTAATCCTCAACTAACAAATTAAAAAATTCAATTCAATGCTAATTTTTTTTTCTCAATTTTGACTGAATCAAACCGCTTGCATCCTTCACTTGGACTTTTGTGAGCACCTTCTTTTTGTTTCGCACATCTCAGCCCATCTCAGGAATCTTTTCTAGTCAGCATTCAAAAAGCTTCATCACCTGTACACACTGAATTTTAGGGCTAGTTTGGCATGTACTAAATAAGTTAAAAAGTCAAAAAGTCACTATTTTATTTAAGTCACATCATCTTACTTAAATCACATCACCTCTCTAACACATCACATCAAACCCAACCCAAACCCACCAATAAGTCAAAAAGTGCACTTTTTTAGGACATCCCAAACCAAATTAAAAAGTCAAAAATGTGATTAAAAAGTTAAAATATTAATAAATTATATTAAAAAAAGGTTAAAATTTTTATTTTCTCTTTATTTTTTCTGTATATTTTTTCATAAAAAAATAAAAAATATTCCAAATATATTATTTTTTATATCATATTTTAACCAAAAAAAACAAAATAGTCTATTCCCAAACTAAACCACGTCTTGTTTCAAGAACAAAACCAAAATCATAACTCACCAGGAGGCTATTTTTTTTTTTTTTTAATCTCAAACATATTATTTTTTTCGTAAAAAATAAAAAATATCCCAAACATATTTTTTTTATTTCATATTTTAACTAAAAAAAACAAAAAATTATTAAAATAATCTATTCCTAAACCAGACATCTCGTTTCAAGATCACAACTCACCAAGAGGCTATTTTTGGGTGAGAAATTTCTTTTATTTAATTTGGAAACAGCACTTTTTAATCAAAAAGTAAAAAAACACTCTTGTCTTCATTGGCTTCTTGCCAACTCCTCCCTCCCTCCCCCTGCTATGTTGTTGGGTTTGCTGTTGTCATTGCTTTCTTTCGGATGCCAACTTAGTTGGATATGCCATTGCTAAGCTTTGATGCTTTCTCCCATTAATATTTTATTGATGTGTTTCTTTGGAGATATTGCATTTCCCTTTTTTTTTATCAATAAATTTTTTGCCAATAAAAAAGTGCTATTTAAAAAAAAATAAAATATTCTCTTTTCACCCTATTTATTGCACATCTTTTCGTAAAAAATTAAAAAAATCATCTCAAACATAACTAGTTTTTTTTATCTTATATTTTAGCTAAAAAGTCAAAAAAATACTAAAATATAATGTTCCAAACGAGTTATTTCAATTAAGGAAAATTCTAATATACACCCTTTAAAAATGGTATATCATATACACCTCTAGTTATGTCATTTCCTTCTTAAGTTATGATCAATTTTATTATTTAGTTATGACATTTTTTTTTAGTTATGACTTAGAAAATTAAAATTATGTTATTTTTTTTAGTTATAAGGTGCATATAATGCACACCCTTTCCCTTCATTTTAAGGTAATGGGTATTTGCTAAATTGCTCTTAAATCACATAGATGATTATGTTTTTGACCCTTACTCCACCATTTCAAGATTATTACCAGGACAAATTATTGCAGATAATCCTAATCCAAGCTAGTGTACTCTCCATAGTTAACAATAATGTTAACATTAAAAATTGAAAAAAACAAAAAATTATTAACTGTGGTAATGGCTGACACTAATGGTCATTTTAATCTTAAAACAATATACTACTAAAACTATGCTAAGAAAAAAATTGAAAGAAAGAAAGAAAAATAAAAAAACAAACTGTGCCAAGCATTGTTCAATTTTAATACAACTAAAGAGGGTAGCTCCCTCTCCAGAAGTCCAAATAAAAAAACAACTCAATACACAAGATTCTCACTAAAACGAGGTTTGATCACAAAGGTCCAGAAGTCCAAATGTAGAATAAAAATAGTGATAAACAAGATATTGAAAGTTCACCATGTATGATAAGCTAACCTTACCATGGTATTTCATTTTGGTTTTGCTGATCATATATGATGGTGATGAATTCAACTGATCAAACCCAACCATGTTAGGAAACCCCTTATAAGAAAATGCTCTAAGACCCAAAAAAATCTCTAGTCAACCCATTACCGCCACTGTCACCATCTTCCATAGTTTGTTTTGTGAGTGTTTCCTGAATATTACTATCCACTTTTGGATTCAACATTCCATTCAAAGCCTTTTCAAAGGATGATGATGATGATGATCCTTCAAACACACTTCCACAAGGCAATAAAGAATTCATCATATTAACATTACCCACTTGTTCCATGCAACCACCAGAGGACAAACAAGGTTGGCTCATTGTCACACTCATTTGGGCTGCTTTTTGCAGCAATGCTGTGGCAGACATGTGAGGGGAAGCTGTGGGTTGAAAGGAGGGAAGTGTAGGAATTAGGGTTTGACTAGGGTTAGGGTTAGGGTTTTCATGGTATATGAATGAGTGGTTTAACCATGGTGGAAGGTGTGATGGCCTTAGGTGGAAGCTTTGGTGGTGGTGGTGGTCTTGTTCTGTTTTAAGTGGAAAAGGGTTTAAATGGGAAGTAGTTGAAGTGGATAGGGGTGTTTGGGAGGAGAGAAAGGGGATTGATGATGTGATTCCACCCCTTGAAGTCTCTTGTGATAAGGCATCACAGAATGCTCTGTGAGTAACGAAAGTGTCCTTCCTGAAGCACCACAAAAACAAACAGAAAAAACAAAAACAATCACAATTCAGATTAAACAGTGTTAAAGTACTCTCTCTCTTTCTCTCCACGTGTTTGTATTTCATTTTTTTTCTCTGCAAGCAAAAGACATACCACAGTCCAGACTAACCATTAAAGGCTCCTATGCTAGGTTCTTTAGCAGTAAAAAAAAAAAAATGATTCCCTAATAAAATTACCATACTGATATAAAACACATCTTTTTGGTATTTTTCTAAGAATAATGAATACGATACAAACTAACAAATTTTATATAAAAAAAAATTATTCAATTAACGTGACACTTATCGTATAATTAGATCTTGTTTATGATTTTAAAATTTTAGTGTTGTTGACACATCAATTAAGAAAAATTTGAAAGAGTAGTTAGTTTATTTTAACACTTTTATTTTTATAATTATGAATCATAATAAAATTTCAATAAAATTAAAATTAAGAAATCATATTAATATTTTTTTTTTTTTGGTTGTGCTTGCGGATGATTGTGGTGTAGTCTTCTAATGCCAACTTAATTGGAATGAGTTGTTTCTAGTAATGATGTGGGTTTGCACTTCTTTTCTTTATTGATGTTTTTGTATGTATGTACCATTTGATTATGATTCTAAATCGCGGTATCGGATAACGTAACGGTATCGATTGCGGAGTATCCGTATCGGTAGTATCGATTGGTACGTATCAGGAATCAGGTGTCGCGGTGGTGAAATTTTAAAGATTATTTCACAGGTTTTTCAGTTTTTTCTTTCCCATACCCATCTGAACCGGTGAGTATCGGTCCTTCGCGACTTGTGTAACGGTTACAGACCGATACGTACTGGGACTCTGCCGAACGCTTGCAATTATCAATTTTAGCGATATACCAGCCTGTATCCGTCACGGTACCCTATTTTTCCGGTAGTGTGTCAGTGTATGCTTTTGATACATTATTCTCGTCAATAAAAAACTTTTTGTCTGGTTTAAAAAAAAAAAAAATCACTTGGATTTTGTAGAGACTAGACATATTTTGAACTTCTAAGTTTTCATGGTTGATCTCTATATATTTTAGGAGTTAAACACTTGTTCTTACCTTGAGAAAAGGGTTCCACAATCACACCTATACTCTCGAGTACCACAAATTTTGGAGTGAGCTTTCCAATCTGACTGAACAGCATAATGCTTTGAGCACTTTTCACACTTCCACTTCTTCTCACCATGCTTTCTTGAAAAGTGCTTCTTGATCCCAGTGAGGTCTCCAAGTGCCCTTGAAGGTTCATGGTGCACACATGTAGCCTCTGGACACACATACACTTTCTTCACCTCTTTGTTTGTTCTTTGCTTCAGCTTCCATGGCAAATTGTGCCCTCTTCTGTGTAGTTGAAGGTTTTGATCTCTCTGAAACCCTTTGTTGCAGATCTCACACAAAAATCTATTTGTTGCCATTAGAGTACTTGGGGACAAAGCTACCACTGCTGCATCTGGGTCTAATAGTAATTATTCAAAACCAAGAGAACTTAAATTAATTAGAAACCCGCATTAAGAAATCAAAAATGATATACCCATAAAAAAAATTTGAAAAAATGTTTAGAATTTGAATGAATCTAATCTATACATTTTAAATTTTGTAAGTATTTTTTCTAAATAGGTAACATTGTTGTTAAAAAAATCAATAAAGTTGAAATTTCTTAAAGAATCATAGCTAACTCTCTGGGTCTAATTATTCATAACCAAGAGAAATGAATTAAAACCCACATTAAGAAATCAAAAATGTTTTATACCCAAAAAAATATTCGAAAAAGTGCCAAAAATTTGATTGTATTAGATAAATTTAAATTTGGTGTGGTGTGATGAGCAGTACAAAATGAATCTGATCTACACATTATTTTTTTGGGGGGAGGCTTACGTCGGAAATAAGATCTACACATTTCAAATCTTAAACACTAGTATTTTTTCTGTTAGAAAATTCAAGAAAGTTGAAAGTTTCTGAAGAATCAACTAAGAAATTAGAGGGTAGCTGTTAATTAATTATAATTTGGTTAATTACCTGGATTTCCTGGGAGATTTCTCCTCTTCTTGGGTGGTGGTGGTTGATTGGGTGATGCAAAAGACTGTTGATCTGGGTACACAGTACTACTACCAACTTCATTTCTGTGACTTGAAGATATGCTTGCTTTATTGGATGCAGAAATCAAATTTGACAAATTGTCATCTACTCTCATACTATTCATCATCTTCTCTCTCTCTCTCTCTCTCTCTCTCTCTCTTTGGCACTAAATTTCACTGGTTTTTGTTTTGTGGATGAGGACAGAAAGTCTAAAGATTCATTGATGAGCCACAGATCAATAACTTCTTTTCATATTTGACACAGTGACAGTGTGTCCTCAAGATCTGAATGCAAATACTAATTTAGAAAGGCTAACAAAAGAGACAGGAGACGATACCTCTTAAAGAAACACATTAAAGGCTTCTCTCTGAGCTTAGGCTGTATTTTACCTTCGGTAGTACTGGCCTCCTTCCTTGCTTCACCTTTATTTCAAACCCTAAAAAATTTTAAAAAATAAAAAATAAAATAAAATAGAAAAGAATAAGAGGGAAAAGAAAACAAAAAGGGCAAAAGCAGTATATTCCTTTTATTTTAATCAGAAAGTAGTTTACATTTCTAAATGAAAAGGATCAAACCTTGTAGTCACCAATCTTCTTCATGTGTGAATAACACCAAGAGAATTCAATAAAGGCCATACACTGATACAAGTGCAAATAAACCTAGCCAAAACCAAGTTTTTGTGTGAGAGAGAGAAGGAGTTTTGTGGATGAGAAAAGGTCCCTCTGTAGTCAATACCCCCTTCAAAGCCATAACTCAATCAAAGCCTTGCACTTTGTCTTTTCCTTTGTTCTTTTCTCAATCTTAGAAATATTTGCCAATTTCATTGTTGTATTTGCTTTGCGAATGTAATAGCTTTTCAAGCAAAATGCTACTCTCCTAAGCCTTTACTTGTTGACACCAACTTTCCATTCCAGCCAAAAGCTAGAAATAAAGCAACCAAGTGAAAATGAGAGGGAATTTTTTTAACATGCTCAACCCACTAGCTAGAAGAAAGAAAAGAAAAGAGTAATGTTATATATAAATAGATTTTCATTAAATTTTTTTAGAAAAATGGTCTGTAAATGCATCCATAATGAGAATAACAATGTTTCGATTGAAGTTGGCATAGTATGAAATTTTTGAACAAAATTTTTGTTGGTATATCATTGTTAGATTCATTAAATACTAATATAATGGGATCAACAAAATTAAATCAAATTTTATGTATAGTATTTTTTTCTTAAAAGGAAAGTAGTGAGATGCAAAAGAATAGAGATGATTAGGAGTTGATTTATTGCCTTTTAACATCATGAGTAACAGAGTTAAAAGTGTCTCCACTTTCTGCTGTGCATAGTCGTATGATTAGTTTAGTGATTAAATTCTAACACATGCTCATGGAAAGCGGTTCTTTTTTAATTTTCTTTTTTTAATATTATATAGTATACACTAATGGTTTCACAATATTTAGCTCAATAGATTTCGTTTAATTGATAAATAAGGTACAACAAACACACATTATGGAATAGCGGAACTTCTGACATGCTCATGGTTCATGAAATTATAAATTTAAATTACATATCAATTTTTATAAATCACTTTTGGTCACAAAAGTACAGAGATGAGCACAAATTGATCAATTCAAAATGAGTGCATTTAAATTTGCACAAGATTTGTGTTTCAAGCCATAGCACCCCTGTTTTTCTCTGTTGGCGGGTTGATATTGATTCCCTCTTCAACGAACAATTTATTTTGTAAGGTTTGATTGCGTGATTATTAAAATTTAACATATATAATTTTTTATATAAATGATTTGCACAACAATTTTTATAAAATAAACGATTTGATTTTTAATTTAAACTTAGAGCGGGCCCTCCAAAAAGCACAGTAAGAACGACGTGTGTTGAAACACAACGGTAACTCTTTATTTATTAGGACTTCATAAACATCTAACGGCAAATTATTCCCTTAATTTTTGTATTTTATCTTTTGTGTCAATTTATCTTTTGTAGTTCTAATTGTATCAATTTTACTCTAGAATTTTTTACATTGTGTCAATTGAATCGTTGACATTCTTTTTTAAATTGTCCATTAATGACCATTTTACCCAAGACTTCCGTTTAATTTCTTAACACATATTATTAATAATACCATACTAAAGCAAATTAAAAATTTAAAAACAAAACTAATTTAAAAGAAACAAATTATGGGAACCACTAACAATATTTTCCCAACATTTGAAGAAATATTGTGAGTTCATAAATAAAGCAATAATATGTAAGGTGACTTGGGTTTTGTGATAGCTAGTCTACCAAATTGTTTCTAAAAGCTGCATTATTGTCGTCCTGTTTATTCTTTTTGTCGGTCATAGATTTGCGCTTCTCTCTGAGCTTAGGCTGTATTTTACCTTCGGTAGTACTGGCCTCCTTCCTTGCTTCACCTTTATTTCAAACCCTAAAAAATTTTAAAAAATAAAAAATAAAATAAAATAGAAAAGAATAAGAGGGAAAAGAAAACAAAAAGGGCAAAAGCAGTATATTCTTTTTATTTTAATCAGAAAGTAGTTTACATTTCTAAGTGAAAAGGATCAAACCTTGTAGTCACCAATCTTCTTCATGTGTGAATAACACCAAGAGAATTCAATAAAGGCCATACACTGATACAAGTGCAAATAAACCTAGCCAAAACCAAGTTTTTGTGTGAGAGAGAGAAGGAGTTTTGTGGATGAGAAAAGGTCCCTCTGTAGTCAATACCCCCTTCAAAGCCATAACTCAATCAAAGCCTTGCACTTTGTCTTTTCCTTTGTTCTTTTCTCAATCTTAGAAATATTTGCCAATTTCATTGTTGTATTTGCTTTGCGAATGTAATAGCTTTTCAAGCAAAATGCTACTCTCCTAAGCCTTTACTTGTTGACACCAACTTTCCATTCCAGCCAAAAGCTAGAAATAAAGCAACCAAGTGAAAATGAGAGGGAATTTTTTTAACATGCTCAACCCACTAGCTAGAAGAAAGAAAAGAAAAGAAAAGAGTAATGTTATATATAAATAGATTTTCATTAAATTTTTTTAGAAAAATGGTCTGTAAATGCATCCATAATGAGAATAACAATGTTTCGATTGAAGTTGGCATAGTATGAAATTTTTGAACAAAATTTTTGTTGGTATATCATTGTTAGATTCATTAAATACTAATATAATGGGATCAACAAAATTAAATCAAATTTTATGTATAGTATTTTTTTCTTAAAAGGAAAGTAGTGAGATGCAAAAGAATAGAGATGATTAGGAGTTGATTTATTGCCTTTTAACATCATGAGTAACAGAGTTAAAAGTGTCTCCACTTTCTGCTGTGCATAGTCGTATGATTAGTTTAGTGATTAAATTCTAACACATGCTCATGGAAAGCGGTTCTTTTTTAATTTTCTTTTTTTAATATTATATAGTATACACTAATGGTTTCACAATATTTAGCTCAATAGATTTCGTTTAATTGATAAATAAGGTACAACAAACACACATTATGGAATAGTTGAACTTCTGACATGCTCATGGTTCATGAAATTATAAATTTAAATTACATATTAATTTTTATAAATCACTTTTGGTCACAAAAGTACAGAGATGAGCACAAATTGATCAATTCAAAATGAGTGCATTTAAATTTGCACAAGATTTGTGTTTCAAGCCATAGCACCCTTGTTTTTCTCTGTTGGTGGGTTGATATTGATTCCCTCTTCAACGGACAATTTATTTTGTAAGGTTTGATTGCGTGATTATTAAAATTTAACACATATAATTTTTTATATAAATGATTTGCACAATAATTTTTATAAAATAAACGATTTGATTTTTAATTTAAACTTAGAGTGGGCCCTCCAAAAAGCACAGTAAGAATGACGTGTGTTGAAACACAACGGTAACTCTTTATTTCTTAGGACTTCGTAAACATCTAACGGCAAATTATTCTCTTAATTTTTGTATTTTATCTTTTGTATCAATTTATCTTTTGTAGTTCTAATTGTATCAATTTTACTCTAGAATTTTTTACATTGTGTCAATTGAGTCGTTGACATTCTTTTTTAAATTGTCCATTAATGACCATTTTACCCAAAACTTCCGTTTAATTTCTTAACACATATTATTAATAATACCATACTAAAGCAAATTAAAAATTTAAAAACAAAACTAATCTAAAAGAAACAAATTCACTAACAATATTTTCCCAACATTTGAAGAAATATTGTGAGTTCATAAATAAAGCAATAATATGTGAGGTGACTTGGGTTTTGTAGTCTACCAAATTGTTTCTAAAAGCTGCATTATTGTCGTCCTGTTTATTCTTTTTGTCGGTCATAGATTTGCATTTTAAATTTAAAAAAGTATGCTCAATGAAAAAAAAAAAAGAAAGTATAAGTTTACTTGGTGTACGGGGAGGAAATAATTCTCCTCGTATAATCCTGTTGACCAAGTCCACGCTCCTCCGTACGACGTCGCTTTGTCACCTGAAAACACAAACGTGAGCTAGCCGGCGGGTGTGTGCCGGAAACCTCTCCGATGCCTAAGTCAGAAAACTTGACAAATAGACAAAGCTCTAAGTTCTCAGAAAGATTGCGTTCAATTACCTCCTCCAAGGTGTTGCTTGTGAGCTTTTATAAGTTTCATATGGCACAATCCTAGTAGGACTCGTATTTCTCCATGCAGAGTCCTCCTAGGATTCAATCTCTTAAGGATAATGCTTATCCTTTTACACCCTCCCCCACTGCTTAAACCAAGTGGGATGGTTTCCTCCACGGCCGAACTTCCATGTAACCGAAGTAAATTGGCTATACCGAGCCACAGAGGGCCGAACCGTCCATAGCTCGGTCTTCTCCTCTAATTCCTTACTTCGGCTGTCCCTGTTCAACCTTGGCGAGCTCAAACTTCCAAGTAGCAAGGTCTGACCGACCTAATCCATAGTACGTCACGACCGGACTAATTCCAAGACCGGCCTTCCCAGAACATACTGCGGCCGGACTAACTCTGAGACCGGCCTAATTCCGAGTTGCCTACGGACCGGAGTAGCTTTACTTCTCCTTGGACCAAAACATCTATCTCTTCATGAGCCGGAGTAACCTCACCTCCTTGGGCCGAAGTAACTCTGTCTCCTCAAGACCGGAGTAACCTTGCCCCCTAGGCCGAAGTATCCATTACGGCCTTTTTACTTAATCCTTCGTGTTTTGGGCCTTAAAGCCCAACTCGAAGCTCGGCCCAATTTTTCCCAAAAATTACCCTCTCACTTGGCATTCACTTGTCTTCACATATGCTGATCTCTACACCATATTATTTAATCCTAATATCGTTATCTTATAAGATATTTTAAACCACCCCTACCAACTCATTAATATCATTCTATTATCTCATAGACGTGGGTCTAAACAAAACACTCCGTTCAGATTTGGGACCGGAAGAAATTTGTACTCTACATTCAATTTTTAGGTATGCCACACTATTGTGTGATCTACATTTTTTTGGTGAGAATTTTATTATGAATAAATTAATATGCCTAAAACAAATAAAGAATGAAGAAAGGTGTTAAAAATTCAATATAGGGAGATAGGGACTTGGGGTGGTTGTTGTGCCTTGCTGTACAGTCAAATGGGCCTATTTCAGGACTCATTTGGATAATCCGAATCATGCACATTTTAGAGTACATTGAGTAGAATATACTTGCAATAATCCAAGTTAATTGGATATCGTTAACTTTTTCATCCACTCACATTTGTATCTACAAGAATAAATGATAATTGTGATTTAAATAAGTTAACGATATCTAATTAACTTGATTTTTTATAAGTATGTTATGCTCAGTATACTCTCAGATATGAATGGTTCGATCATCAAAATAAATCCCAAAATGGGCCAATTTAACTGCACAACAATAGCTGTTGTGTAAGAGGCATAGCAGCCACTCCAAATCCAAGAAACCAGTAGTTAGCATATTCCATG